TCTGAAGCTACACAGTAAATGGGATTACTGCTCCTCTTGGTGCTACTTTTGCTAGCTTGTCCTTCCCCCTCCAGCATTTCCTAATCATCCTTTCTTCCTCTCAGTATTTGAATTGGTTTGTTTGTTTTGTTTTACTGTCACTTTCCCCTCACCACCCCCAACAGATGAAGCTTTTCCTTTTTATTCTCCAATTCTTTGCTCCTTAAGGCTCTGCCTGGATGTCAGCCCTTCCTGAGGAGAGCTGGCACACCAGTACTGATGTTATAAATAATGTTGGCTCCTCTCCCTGCTGCTTCCCCTCCCCACATGGAGCATGATTGGCTTGGTTACAGAATTTGCCCCATTTAATATCACCAGGACAATGAGACACCTCCAGCAGAAGCTTTCAAACATATTTACACTTGAAAAATTGAACAGAATGTTTTTCTCCTTGGTAAGCTGGCAGCTTCTGTATGAGATTGTGAGCTGTCCTTATGGGAAACCTTCCTTTGAACACATTCATTGCATGGTGTATGAACAGCCTGTACCAAAGGAAGAGTTAAAGTGCCTTTTAAACACCCACTTTGAATCCCTGATTCTCTTAAAAGAGCTGTGTCAGCAGCAACCTCTTTGCAAAACCTTACATATTGTGGTTTCTGGATTCTTAATCTGTGCTCTGCTAACATTTGCAAGAAAACAATTATTGCTGTTAATTTAAACAAGAACCTGGAAGCCCCGAGCTCTTTAACCAGAGTCAGGAGGAGCTGAATCTGTCTAAAGCTTGGAGCTGGTGAATGTCAACCTCACAGTAATTGAGCACAGCACAGGATGCCAAGCTGGTTAGTAAACTACAACACTTAGGCTGACAGGCTGTAAACACATCCAGCCCAGCCATGGCTCGGGGCCAGGGTGTGCTCTCTGATATCTTCAGATATCAAATATGTGCTCTCTGATATCTCCAGATATCAAATATGTGCTCTCTGATATCTCCAGAGCTTCCAACCCCTCTCACTGGCCGTGCTTCAGGTTGCAAGATTGCACTGTGACTCAATCTTTTGGTTTTTAAGGCTTTGGAATAGCAAAAAGCATCAGCCAATGGAGAAGAGAGGGAGAACACTGGGCTCTTATGGGCTTGAGATACCTGTGTAATTTCCTGTAGCCTGCTTTCCACCTCCCTTATTGTTTTGGTGGTTTTTAATGTAGTTCATGAGGAGTGGAAGCAAAGCATTGATGCCTTGTTTGTTCAGGTCTGGCTGGGTGCTTGGTCCTCACAGCTCCCACAGCAGGGAGACAGGAATGCTCTGAGTGCTGCCCTGGTACAGCTCTGTAAGCTTTATTCTGAAACGTGGGTAGAGAGGCAGCCAAAAGATGGGAGGGCAGTGCAGAAAGGCTACACATGGATGCTGGCATCAAAGAGGCAGGGACAGTCAGAGCATGAAATACCAGTCAGACTTGTGCAAGTGGAAAACAGGCTAACCAAGCTGGGGAGGAAGCATGAGCTGGACTGCTGACCACCTGGCACTCCCTGCTGAGTGCTTGGGTTTGTCAATACAGGCTGCTCCCACTTCCTGCTGGGAACATCCCATCTGCACTTTGGTTATAGGTGTGTTTTCCCCATCCTCTTTGGTCTGGTAGCTGTGGTACCAGCTCCTCCACTTGCCACAAGCAGCTCCAAGATTTCAGACTGCTCCCTTCTTGCCAGGGAAGGGGAAAGGAGTCCTCAGCCTTGGCAGGTCTCCCTGTACTGGTGGGAAGCTTGACAGCAATGCCCAGGATGTTCCCTCTTGGCTGTCCTGGCTGGAGAGCAGGAACAGAGGGCAGTGAGGCTGTTGGAATCAGTGTTGCTCTTTGTTCCCCTTCTGTGCCAGACACAGGCAAGGCAGAAATGCCCTTGGCCCAGAGTGCATCACAGCTTGGCTGCTGTGGGCAGCATGGGAGGCCAGTGCCACAGTCTGTGCCTGCTCACTGCTCTGCTGGTCTGGGTGAGCAGTGAGCCTGCTCCCAGGTCTGTAAGTGAGGAATGTTGTAATACCAAATTAATAACTTACTCTTCTTCCTCCTGATTTTGGCACCAAGTGAATTTCTGAGTCTTGGAGTACATTTCTTAACATGTGTGACTTAAAAGTACCCTGAGGCTGAAGCAGCACAGGGGCTGTTTTCCAGATGTTCCTGGTGCTCCATCAGCCCCAGCTGACACTGAGCAAAGGCCTCCCTCAGCAGGAGCTCTTGTCAGGACACAGCTCCCGGGAGGGAACAGGAGCAGCAGCACAATGCACAGAGCAGCTCCCTGGTGCTGCACTGATCCCTGGCACAGCAGGAGCAGGGGATCATCTTTTCACTCTGGAGGAAGCTGTATGTAAATTCGAGGTACTGCATTGGAGATCTTGTAATGTGCCCTGTGCTTGTTGGAACAACTCCCCTGAGGGTTTCTTGAGCAATTGCTGTGCAGAGCATAAAGCAGCCAGTGCCTGCCCCGGCTCCTGTGGCTGCACTCCTGCAAGCATCACACTTGGACAAATGCCCCTGTTAACAAAGGCTTAGGACAAATCCGTGGACTTTGCACAGTGCCCCTGTGGTAATGGGCAGGAAGGAAGGCCTGCAGTGTGTCCTGGGAGATGTTTGTCTCTCTGAAAGTGCATCTCTTAAAGGAGGAAATTAACATTCTGGCAGAAAAGGCCTCTCTGTCAGCTGACGGTGCCCAGCAAGGGCTGGCCTGTAAATTAAAGCTTTTTCTTGTGAACAGAAAACTGTTCTCAGTGCTCAGTGCAGGAAAACTGGTGTGCCACTGTCGTGATGGGCAAGTGTAAGTCATTTCAATAACTTATCATTGTGTGCTGCTCTTTACAGATGTTACAAACATACCCAGCTGGTTTTTAAATCCTCACCTCCTCCAAGAGAACCTGGTAAAGATAATTATAGTGCTGTGTCAATATTGACCACTTACCTCATCCTCAGCAATGCAGACTTTAGAGCACTGTTAGTTTTTCTCAATGCTTCTTTGTGTAGCTGCACTTTTTCTTTTGTAAGTGTTGTAAGAAATCTCTGGAAACCAAGAGCAATTGTGTTTTTCTTGCACCAGGGCTGCCACATCCCTTCCTCTTTGGATGAAGGCAATCTTTGTTAACCATCCTGGGGCTGCCTGTCTTGATCATGTGTGTGTACCATGCCTTACAAAGTGTCCATGAGCTGGGCATCCAGGCACTCCTGGCACAGAGTGCATAAGGGATGGTCACAGCCCTGTTGAACATTTCCATGCCAGTCACACAGGTGGCCATGGATGCACAGTCTGGTGCAGTGTTCATTTTACCATGGACTTTGTCACTTGTGTTCTTCTGAAGTCTTCTGAACACTGACTGGTGAATTACAAATTTCTGCCACCTTTGAGATGCCCTTTCAAGATTTTAAAAGGCACTGTGGTTCTTACTGAATGCCACTGAAGGGTGGGCTGCAAAGAGAAGTTCTTCTTTCCATGTAGTACCTAATGTGTGTGTAAATCTTACTCATTTCCTTAGAACAGCTTCTGTCTGCCACTTTTATTTAAGAGGTGGTGGTGGCATTTGACACCTTGCAAAATTTTTACGAAGTAGTTGCTGCAAGTCTTTTAGGCTAGAATACAGCTTGTGAAATTTAATGAAACTGTTTGAAAATCAGGCTGGTTATTGATGAGACAGAATCCAGAAATATCTGGGAGCGTGAGGATCTGTTTCTTTCTTTGTGTTGTGCGTAGGCTCAAAGTCACAGGATGTGATAATTCCTGCAAACTGAACCTCTAGCCCAGGTACCTCATCTGTACATCTGCAGAGGACCCTAAACTAAGTGGAGCTTTTTGGGGGGCAGCTGTAGGGCTGTATGTTCAGTCACCAGAGTGGAGTGTACTGCTCTGCTTCCTGATCCTCCCACTGTGAAATCAAAAGCTGAAGATTCCTCTGGATATTAAGAGTAGGATGGAGCCCCAAAAAACCTACCCAAATCCCTTGAAAAGCACGTACCCTTTCAGAGCCAACTTCTGACTCTATTCTTAGAGACATTTAACAACATAAAAAGGCTGCAAGAGTTTTAAAATGCTATTTCTGTGAATGACAGAAATAAAAAGAACTGGGAATAGGACTCTGTAAAAGAGGGATGTTTCTCATTATTTATAACCTTTATTGCTTGGCCAATTTTTTCTAGAGTTTTTGGAAAGACTCAGTTTCACTTTATCAGGTTAAACACTTTTCAGGTAACAGTTTTGAGAGGAAGGATAATTGAAATTCAGCAGAAGGGATTATTGCTTCTCTTCCCACTTCATGCAAGTCTTCCCCATTAGCCCTTGAATGCAGTTATGTGGGGCCTTTCCCCCCCTCTTTCTTCACTTGTTCTGGTGAAGAACTGCTTCATGGGATCCCAATAAGAAAATCAGCATGTGCATTCCAAGCCATGCTGGTTATTCCATCCTCTCACTAACAACAGGCACTGTGCTAGGTGGCACTGAAAAATAATTCAGGGAATAGAGGGGAGTGGGAGGAAGAGCAGCCCTGGGAGCCAGGTCAGGCTGTGCACACCTGGGGAGGGCAGAGCAGAGATCCTGTCTGCTCACAAACACAGCTTTGGAGAGCCCCTGGGGAGGGAGGGAGGGCATTGCACAGAAAAGGGGCCCTAACATTTGTTTAGGAGGATGAATTCTGAATTTTTAAGTTCCATGTTTTGAATTTTGTGAAGAGGTCTGGGCACCTAATTGAGACACCACAGTTGAAAACTGTAAATAATCTAAGTGGTATCAGTTGCTAGTAAATAAAAATTTCTTTATGTTTTCTTTATGTTTTTCTTTTGTGTTTTATGTTTGCATATTTCTAGAAACAAGATGCTCATCACAAGTGGATGGTTTGGTTTTTAGTCTGAAAGTAAATTGAAAAAGCAAGTGTGCTCTGGTCAACTGAATGGTCTTGTCCTCTTTGTCCTCATTCTTGGGGTTTTTTCTTACTCTCCCTGCAACCTGCTCTTAATTTTTAAATTTTTTTTTCTCCTAAACAACTTCTTTGTAGAGTGAGCCAGACCTGGAGAAAGGCCTGGAGATGAGAAAATGGGTCCTGTCAGGAATCCTTGCCAGTGAGGAAACTTACCTGAGCCACCTGGAGGCCCTGCTGCTGGTAAGGCTGGGGCCAGGTGCCAGTGCAAACACTGGGGCTTGAATTTTCACTGCTGCTCCTGTCCAGAGTTCCCCTGAGCTCCACCTGCCATGGGTTACAAGTTGCTGGGTGCAGAAGGTACCTGTTGCACCTCCAGTAGAGAGGGAGGCTTGCAGGAAGGAGTGGATGGAGCAGAGTTTGGGAGTTGTTAATGTGGCAGTATCCAGGAGTTCTCTTTAGGTATCCTGTGCTAATTATTACATGTTGCTGTACTGTTGGACAGAGATCAGGGAAATGGAGTGCAAAGGGATTTTAATTGCAGCATTAATAACCAGGGAAAATGCACCTACCAGGGGTGGCTGATGCTCCTGAGAGACCTTGTTCATGTCTAGCTTTCAGGAGTTGTGTCAATGCAGATCTCACTTTTCATTAGGGTGAAAAATAACTCTATGGAGGGATGTGTTGCAGTGTGGCAAAGGTGAATGCTCATAGTTTATTTATAATTATTTCTTTCTTTCCTCATTTCAGCCTATGAAGCCTTTGAAAGCTGCTGCCACCACCTCCCAGCCTGTGCTGACCAGTCAGCAGATTGAGACAATATTCTTCAAAGTGCCTGAGCTCTATGAGATCCACAAGGAGTTCTATGATGGGCTCTTTCCCCGGGTGCAGCAGTGGAGTCACCAGCAGCGTGTTGGGGACCTCTTCCAAAAGCTGGTGAGTCAGCTGCCATCACCAAAGGTGCTGCTACCCCTCACCCATCTCACAGGAGCTGGAGGTTCCCTCTGGTGGCTGCAGACACCAAGGGGATCAGAGTCTGTGGCTGGAATAGATGAGAGGTTTCTCAGCTCCTCACTTTGCCACTGCAATGGAGGCCCTACAGCAAAAGTGGCTCTTTCATTGTCTTTAATTAAAGACTGCAGCAAGCTCTGGTGGTAAAATAAATAGAATTTCACATAAATGTTGAATCTCCAGAGTTCCTGCAGAGTCCTCAAAGCATTTCCTGTAGATGGAGAGTGGCAGTATTACCAAGTGAACTTCTGAACACCAGCAGTGAAGTGTTCCTCATTGCTGTGGAACTCCCCCACTCATCCTTCCCTCTCTCTCTGGTGCTTTGCTGATTTTTGGTCATCACCATTGGCTTTGCTTTTCTGCCACTGTCCTGGCTTTTCTGTTCCCCTTGCTGTTATGCTGATGTAGTCAACCTGCAGCTGAGAATCCTCCAAGCAACCTCAACAAAATTCTGAGTGCAGAAAAGGACAAAGACACATACAGCATATTCCTGAGGCTGAATTAAAATTGCTGAGTTTCTGAGCCAGATGACAAATTGTTTGCATTCTAGGAGGTTTTTTTGGCCCCTTTAGCCTCTCCCCTAGCATGTGCAGAGAGCAAAGGATTAAAGGAGCTGTTTTTTCCTTTTTAGAAAAGAAAAGAAGCTCTGCATTCCTGAGGTGCCTCTGGTTCTCAGGGTAGGAGTGACATTCCAGTGAGGGGTTTATTGGCTGGGGAGTGTGCTTTACCAGGGTCCATCAATTGTTAGCAGCTGTGTAGCCCAGCATCAGCCCCATCCCCTGTGGAGCAGGGGGAGCTGGCCTGGAGGATGATGCTTTCTGTACATGCCAGCAGCTCAAGATGAAAATCCAGGAATCTGCTTTTCCCTGCCAGCATGTTTTAGCCAGGAGGGGTCACGTTGGTGCCTTGGTGAATAGTTCATGGTATGCAGTTTGAGCAGCTGGTTTGAGAGGACAAACCCAGCTGCTGCTGGGTGCTGGAGCAGACACAGAAGCTGCTGGAAGTGGCACAAGCTGCCCTGGAATTGTGGTGCAGCAATGGGAATAGCACTAATTGGAGAAGAGCTGAATGTATTCCTTGCAGGGCTGTCCAGCAGCCCTCCACTCACTGCACACACACTCAGGCCTTTGTTTCAGACCATTTCTTGGTGCTGGCTGATCTCGGGTGCAGGAGTTCAGCCCTTCCTCTGCTCTTACGTTCCTCTGATTTTTCTGCATTTGTGACAGAATTGATGATTTTGTTGGATTAGCATTGGAAACAAAGGAACAAATTGCCCTACTGCAGGAGGCTTGGAGCTGGCATGGCAGCTTTAGTTTCGGGTGCTTTGGTAGAGCAGTGGTGGGAATTGTTGGATGAGATAAAGCTAATAACTCCTGGCAGGCACTGGGAAGCAGCAAGATGAGACAGACAGCAAGAACATCAGGCTTTATAAGGCATCTCCACTGGATGTACATCAAATCTTCTGGAGCAGACTGTTTACTCGTGGTCATGTCATGCAGTCTGATGATAAACACTGAAATATCCAAATGTCCCTGGGGACATTAATTTTCTGTACTCACACAAAAAACAGCACAGTAGATTGAAGTTACAGATAGTGGATGCAAAGAGTTTTAGAATTCTGTGTGTTCTGGCACAAAGCATGATCTATTTGCAACATCAAATTGACTGTTATTACACCTTTTCCTGTTGAGAAAAAGAAAAGATGCCAGGCGTGTGGGAGTGAAATACGCTTCTCATTTTTGGAGAATATATTGTGCATATTTTTTTACAGCTAGAAAGGAAACTCTTTAGAGCTCTTTTTAGAAATGAAGACATATTTAGCAAACATGCTCACAGATAGGCCTCAGAAACAAAAAATGTCCAAAAGCCAACCATTTCTACCAACTCTTGTTTAATTTTCAGTGAGTTCTTTTTAATTGAAAAAAAAATTAATCAGCATGAAAACGGTGTGTGAGCATTATTGCTTTCATTGGAAGCTCAGTTTTTAATGAAAAAGATGTCTTTGTGATGACACATTCAGAGGAGGAAAATGAAAGCTTAGAAAGACTGTTCAAGAGTAGCAGGAAATGAAAGAGCTGCATGGGAATGGAGAAACTTTAAAGCTCTGCCATGTTAGCTGGCATCATCCAAATCTGAATGGCATAAGCCTGCAAATGGGCAGTAATTCTGACAGCAGCTTCTTCACAGGATGGTGCCTCAGTGGCAAATACAGATTCATTCTCTCTCATTCTCTCTCTCTCTCTCATTCTCTCCATGCTGCTGGGGTCATCCCTGGTGTAAGTGAGCACAGTTCAGCCTCAGTCATAACTGTGTTATTTTGTGTAAGGGTTGAGATTGGTTTCTAGTCTTTCAGTAAAATGTTTCCTAGGAAATAGCTCACTTTTCTCAGCCCTGTTAGCTGAGTTTGTGCAGGGAATGTTGTCCTGGGAGTGGCTTTTTGTCTTCCATCACCTCTGGCACAAAGCTCCATGGAGAGTGGGGAGCACAGTGGTTATGAGAGGGAGCAGGAGAGGGAAGGAGCAGTGGGGAAGTTGCTGCTCTGCCTCTTGCTGCAGCAGTGCTGAGGTGAGTGCAGCCCCTGCAGTGTCCCCTTGCTGCACCCTTGGCTGCTGCCCTCAGGTGTGCCCAGCCCAGCCTGGCAGCTCTGCAGCACAAAGCCAGCTCTGCACTCCAGACAAGCTTGGAGCCTACCCAGGGATTTCCCAGGCTGGATCTTGTGTTCTCTGGCATGAATAATGGCTGAAGTTCCTAAGTCAGCAAATGGGATCAGTGCTAAGACTCTGTGATAATAATGACTTACTGCTGCTCTCTGAGGCCTGTTCCATCCTCTTCTGGAGCAATTCCATATTCCTTCTGCTGGAAAAAAGTGCCATTTTCTGTCACCTAGTGCCCCAGTCACTGCCATCCAAACAGAATGTGCTCTCTTCTGCATTTTCAGCCCTCTGCTGCCCTTATAATAATGCTCACTAAGGCAGATATGGGTAATATCTGGCTTTGATTTAGTCTATCCACCATGCAAAGGCCAACAAGTAGCTTACTGGGGTCACATTTGTGCTGTTGGGCTGAATCATTCCTCCCTGATTCATATGTTGTGGCAAAAAGCCAGCAGCTCCAGTTACATCAATGAGCTGCAATATTAATAGATACTAATCTGGCAGTTTAGAAGGGAAAATAGATGTCAGAAATAAGGATGTGTCACTCTAATAGGTTTTCACATCCTTCACAAGTAAACTTGTTCAGCATAGGGTGGAACTGGGTGCAGTGCTGGTTGGACAAAGTTGAGAGGTCAGAGATGTCATTCTGGGCCTGCTCAGCATTCCCTGCAGTTGTTTGGTGTGAAGGAAACATGACCTGGTCACTGGATACCAAGCCTGACCATCCCAAACTGTCTTTTTCCCCAGCATTTATAATATTTTGTTTTGCTTCCTGCAGGCCAGCCAGCTGGGAGTGTACCGGGCCTTTGTGGATAACTATGAGGTTGCCATGGAGACAGCAGAGAAATGCTGCCAAGCCAATGCTCAGTTTGCTGAAATCTCTGAGGTAATGTCACGGTGCTCAGACACACGAGCTGTCTGCCTCTGACTAATGCCCTGCCATGTCACTCCTGTCTGTTCTCCAAGTACCTCTGCAGCCCTGACTTCTGGAGGAGTTGTGAGCTCCCACAGACTCAGCTCGTGTCCTTACACTGAATTGTACCTGGGCTGGTCACAGACACAGCCTTTGTGTGCTGTCCCCACCCAGGGAATCTGCTAGAAACTGGCTTTGCTTTGAACTTCTCCAGCTCTGTGCTACCTTCATGCATTACTAGAAGGGAAAGCTCCATGTGAGTTTGTTAAATGTTTCTCTTGCTAATGATGATTCTGGCTGTGGTATAAAAGCCATCCTTAATGGCTTGCACTGTGGCTGTCAGTGGGATTGCAGGCTTCACTGGCATGGAGAGGAGAGGGTAATTCTCTCATGAAAAAGGCAAATGTGTCAACCATAAATCTATAATGCTATTCTTTGGCCTGCTCTGATTTCCTCCCTGACAGAGGAATACCTGTCTCAAAGCATTTTGAATATTTTTTCAGGCTTCCCAGACCATCAGCTTCCCTGCAGTGCATGGTCTCATTGACTCTTTATATTGCAGTGGTTATTTCTTGAAGAACTCAGTTGCCAGGAAAACATGAATTTCATATGTGTCTCCTTAAAAACAATCAGATAAATCATCAGAGCTGAGGGCGTTTAGTGCTCTGAGAAAACTCCTGAGTACATTCTATATCACATGTCCCTTGAGACTTATGAGAAAGAGGTAAAATATGATCTCTCAGTTTTGCTGTTTCTGACAAATAATTCTGAATCATGCCAGTATCTACTGTGTTTGGAATGATGGTACTTCTGCATTTGTGTCCTGGTGAGAATTTTGGAGCTGAGCACATTAATGCATGGCATGGCCCATGGCAGAGAGCAGAGTCACAGACAGTGTTCCTGTGCTGCTGTGGAAGAGCTGACGTGTCCAAGGTCACCCAGCTCTGAGTGCAGGAGTAAGAAGTGTAACCTGAGGGTATTGAGTGCCAGTGCTGTACTTTATTTATTGCTGCTGGGCAGTGGCTGTGTGCTTATGGACATCTCTTTTCTGCAGGTGATTTAAAAGCTCCCCCATCCCCATTGCTGTAGGTGGTTCCCTGCTTTGCTGCATGTCTATTGACAGGTGCTCCTAAGAACACTGCTTAATATTTGAGATGTGTGGGGTGCCTGTGACATGGCAGTGGTGCATTTACCAAGAAGGAAAGTCATTTCCATCACTGACTTGAACTGTGGTAGGGCTCTCCTCCTTTCACACCCAGGCCTTCCCCTGGAGGAGCAGATAGTCTGTTGTGTTCCCATGTGACATTTCAAGGTGATTCACCATCTGCTACAGGGGTTTTCTTTTTCTTTCAGAATCTAAAGGCCAGAAGCACAAAGGAATCTAAAGATCAGACGACAAAAAATTCCTTGGAAAGTGAGTGATCCATGGAGAGGAGACTGGTCTGTCAGGACTGTGTGGAGGCTGTTGCCAAACCTCCACCCTCTCTTTTTCTTTTCTAATGCTGGAAAGTTATGGGGTCTGCTGGCTCTGCCTGGGAAGTCAGTTCCTTTTTGCTAAGTAGGCTGCCTGCATGGGGAAGTGCCTCCTGGCTTCAAACCTCAGCAGTGCCTTTGTGCAAAGCCAGCCCAGCCACTGGGCTGTTGTGATTTTAAGAGAGCATCTGCACAAATGCAACCTCCAGCAGTGATGGGTTTATGGGGGCATTTAGAGAGCCTGGTCAAGATCAGGTTCCACAGTGCTTGTCTTTGTGCACATGAGTGGAAGACAGCCCATGCTAGAAGGAGCTTCCACACTCACACTTCCTGATATTCCTGCTGCTTTGTTTCCACAGCTCTGCTGTACAAGCCAGTGGATCGAGTGACCCGCAGCACACTTGTCCTGCATGTAAGTGTCTGAAGGGGAGTTTTCAAATTTCAGACCCCTGTCCTATTTTCTTTGACCTTCAGATTTTCCATGGAGCTGCAGGACTGCAAAAATAAACCTGTTGAGCTGCATAAGAGCCACTTCCCTTTACACCAAGGAGATGGAGTCTATGGGTAGGATGCTGCTATCTTTGCAGTGATGTCACCAAGAAGTGCAGTGCAGGGTATTTTTATCTTTATCTAGAGATAAAGCCTTGCCCTCATCTGTGTGAAGAAGCTGGAGCATCCTGTCCTGCAGCTCTGAGTGGGGTGCTCGGGCTCTGCTGCCATCCAGTGCTGCCTGTGACTGTGTTCTCTGTCTGTGTTCTGTCAGGATTTGCTCAAGCACACCCCTGTGAGCCACCCTGACCACCCCCTGCTGCAGGATGCACTGCGGATCTCACAGAACTTCCTCTCCAGCATCAACGAGGAGATCACTCCTCGCAGGCAGTCCATGACTGTAAAGAAAGGGGAGGTGAGTCTTCCTGTCTTGTTATTTTCTCAGTTTCTAAATACTGGTTATGTCTTTTCTGTAGAGCTGACTAGGAAGTTATGCTCTTAAGCTGTTTGTTGCTAAGATACAGTTTATCCAATGTCCTTGTTCTCTAAAGGATGTGGTACAGCTCCCTCTGTTTTCTGTTCAGAAAACAGTTTGGAAACCAAGAGGAAAAGTGTGATTAGAGTTTTGTCCTTAGCATTGTTATAATCATTTGTCATACGTAATTCCTATGATGCACATTGCCATGCACTAAATGGGTTTGTATTTTACCTGCAAACTGGAACCAAATGGGAAGCCTAGGAGGAGAAAAAGCTGAGGGAACATCAGAAGTCATGAAAGATTAGGAAAAGCTGTTTTCCAGCATCTTAATTTTCACCATAAAATTAATTTTCTGCATCTTTATTCTAAAGGAGAGTGTTGTAAATATGACTGGAAAGCAAAACAAATGGAATGGGTTGGGAATGCCAGAGAGATGATTGACTCCTGGGAGTGTAATATAACCCTTTTCAGCTCTGCAAGGAGCTGCACTGCACCCAGGAAGGTCTGAGATGTGCAGATCCTTCACCTGCATGCACTGTTGTGCAGGGAGACCACGGAGCTTCTCTGTGGTGGAGTCTGCATTCCTCAGTGGTTGATTCAGCTGCCTTGTAAGTCCATTAGAAAGGGATTCAGTCCCTCCTGATAAAGAAAGGCCAGGACTGGCAGAAGGGTTGAGAGGGAAGGATTGGGAGATTGGACACAGAGAGAAGCAGCTCAGATAGTAAAGGTGCAAGAAGAGCTGTGGCAGCATTCCAGACATGGGCTGATCAGCAGTGACCCAAATTACCCTGTACAAAAACATCTCTTGCAAAGCCCAGGAGATTGTTAAGATACTGTGAACCTTCATGATTTATTCCCAAATCCTGACAGTTAAACATGCTTGCTTTTAGCTGTTAACCTGATATTTAGCTGACAAAAGGTTTGCTGGACGCTGCAGTTCTGGGAATTTGGCGCACTTTGTCCTGCAAGTCTTGCTCATTGTCTCATTTTGTCAACTGAGGACACTTCCAGCTGAGAAAAGAAGAGGAGGGGCTGAGCAATTGGAGGCTGAGGCAGAAGCTGAGCCATCAGTCACCAGTGCCTCAGTGACAGGGGATGGCCTCGTTAAAGTGGCTGCTGATTGAGTCATAGCAGAAAGCACAGGCTAGAATGCCCCTTGCAGGGGAGGGAGCAGTTTGTGTTCTCTGCTTGTCTGTCAGCATCTCCGTGAGGGATGCAGGCTTTGAAGCGTGCCATGCAGAATCCTAATGAGGTGCCAGAGCCCAGGCAGGGGAGGGGGCTCAGGAGGATGATCCTGCTGGTGCCTTTTTGGAGCAGTATTTGTCAGGTCTCAGAAAGCAGGAGGGGAGGCACAGGCTCAGCAGGCCTGGTCACACTCTCACTGGTCCTGCAGTGACTCCGGGTAGGATGTGGGGAGGGAGGGAGAGGACATACCAGAGGAGAGGGCTGTGGGGGTGTTAAGGGGACTGGGAAGCCTTTGTGCCCTTCCTCACTGCACACAGCTTTTCCTGAGCCCAGGGAAGACAAGGACTTCCCTTCCACTCTGGGAATCTGACCATGAATATTTTCTTTAGTCATTTGGCACCAATATCCCACTTCTGTCAAAGCAGTAGTGCCCCAGTTGAACCCTCTGTGTCCTGAGAGTAGGTGTGTTCACTCTCCATGTAGTAATGCAGAAACACAAATCTGCTCCCAGCCACTCTGTGTGGGTTAGTGATGGCTGTTCCTTCCTACAGGCTGCTCAGCTTGGGGTCATAACTGGGTTTTGTTTATGCCTGTAAATCTTTCCTTTTCTACTTATCCTTTCCTCCCACTCGCCTTGCTGGTGCTCCCCCTGGGGTGACAGGACAGTGTGTGGATTGCATCTCCTAATTGACTGCTCTCAATGCATAATGCATTTTTTATTTTAATGAATCACCAGCTTGCTTTGATGGCTTTTTTCATTATTTGTCTTCCTCCCATTGAAGTTTCCTTGGTGGAAAGGAAGGAGGGTAAAATAGCCTTTTCCTCTCATGTATTGCTTAGGTGCTGATCTCAGTTATCTTTTTTCACAGTCCTTGCCTTTTATGTGGAATATTTTTTCCTTTTGAGTGTATTGTGGGGAGGAATCAAATCTCCTTTGCCAGCCTCTTGCTCCAGCTCTTTTTTTCAGGATTGCTTTGAACTGGGGGAAAGCAGCCAGTTGTTAATCTCCCTAGTGACAGGCTGCTAAGGAGGGGAGTGCAGGTCAGGAGAGAGTACAGGCTCATCAGCACAGAGTTGTTCTGTTTTGCAGAGGTGATTCCCTGCTTTGGGAGCAGTGACTCAGCCTGCCCTGCCTGCTGGGCTCCCTGTGTGCTGCCAGGTGTCCAGCCTGCACTCCAGCCCCCCAGTTCTGCTGAGCTCCAGAGGCTTTGTTCTGATCTAGACCTATGCATAGGAGCTGGGAGCTTTCTGTGATTTGCTGGGCTGGATGAGTATTTCAGGTAGCGCAAAGAGATGGGAACAAAGGGAGTAAAATCCCTGCCCAGAGGGCCAGAAAGAGCTGCAGCAGGGAAGGCAAGGTTGGTGCAGGGAGCCTGTGAACAGAGTTGGGTCCTTGCTGACTGCAGCAGACTTTGCTGAGGGCCACGGTACAGAGGAGCCAGCAGAGCCTCAGCCCCAGTCTGGCAACACAGGGGAGCCAGGGGGCATCTCTGGCCTTTGGGGTCTGTTTCCATTCACCTTGGTCCACTACATTCTCCTGCTCCCTTATTTTCATCCCCTCTTTCTACTTTCATTGTTTTACCTTTTTTACAGTTTTTTTAATGAATTATCTACAGATACCCACTTTGCTAACCCTCCAAAGAACCAAGCAAATGCATGGAGGGGGAGGGAATCTAAGTAGCCCTGTACTTTGTGCCTTGTGAGTGGTGGAGAGTCACCCAGCCCTTGGGGGCATGGAAGAGGCATCTTCTTGTCACTGCTGAGCCTTCTGCACCACTGTTGTCTTGGTTTAAATAAGGAATGAGGTTAAGGTTCTGCTGGGGATGGTGCCTTGGGGAAGAAGGAAAACAAATGCATTGGGATGAAGGATGTGCCACTGTTATGTGCAGGAGGGCAGTAATAACCTTCTCTAGGCTTATTAACAGAGCAGCTCTAGGTACTGCATGTTGGGTTTTTTTCAGCTAAGCCCAGATGCAAATGACTGTAGTGCTTGTGTCTTGGCCTGCCAGAGGTCAAGGCTGGTGTTTCCAGCTAATTCAGTGCATTTGTGCAAAGCAGGAATCAATGAAACAGCAAAAAATTGCAGAGTTCACTTGGTGGTCCCTTTCCTGACTGCTGCTCCTCTCGTGCTCTTTGCAGAGTGTTGTTGCAGGGCAGTTCAGACCAGCCTGAGTGTGGTGGCTGCCACTCTGCCTTGCCTGGGCCATGCTCTCCCACCCTCTCTGAAGTGTTCATGCTGATGTTTGTGTGATCCCACAGCAGCACAGAGGAAAGGAGCCTGGAGTTTTGGGTGACTGCTGGCTGAGTGGCTTCATGTCTGGTCTCATCAGCACCAGTCCAGACACAGGGGAGCTGTGACAGCATTTTTGGGAACAAGCCCAGTAGATCACATCACAGATCTGCTTGTGCTACTGTACACCTTTGTCCTTGCCCTGGAGAGGAGAGGCTGTTTGGCAAGCTGCTCTGCTGTTTCTAAATCTGGTTTTAAACTGCAGTCAAGGGACTGGCTAGCATTGCCTTAGGCTTCTGTTTGACTTTGCAGAGGACCAAGTGTGTTAGAGAAGGGAAAGCACAAGGGATGTGTGCAAGGGAGCAGAAGTGCAAACTGAAGCCTTTGAAGAGCTGGAAGTGAAGCTTGGACACAGCCATGCACAGCGTGGGGCCTGGTGCCTACTGCTCCTGGAGGCCTTGGGCAGATGTTGGCAATAGAGCACTCAGAAATTATCTTGGCTGCTTCACACTCTGTCTTACAGCTGGAGCCAGAGAGCTCCTGGTGACAGGAGCTTTGGGAAGGAGAAAGAGAGGCCATTAAAATGCTCAAAGAGCAGCCAGTTTAACTCCCTAGGCAGAGCATCCCTTTTTTTTTTATTTTTGCAGTGCTGCTCTTGCAACACACTTACACACACGAGGAATCATTTTCTTCCTACGCTCTGCAGAAAGCCAAACCACCTCTTCCTCACTGCCATGTGCCAATACCCATCTCCTGGTTTTCCCCTCCTCCCTGTGCCTCACACATGTCCCAGCCCTTCCTGGGGCTCTCACCCACGCACGCTGCAGGCCTCTGCTGTCAGCACATGGGATGAGCTCCTTCCTCAGCACACAAGTGGGGAGGTGGCCTTTTGTGCAGCTGTGGGGCTGCTTGAGTAGGTTTTTTAATTCCACTTTTTGTCATGTGCCTCAGACAAGCTGGCCACACTTCCTGGAGTTAATCAGTCTGTGACAGCAGCAGGATTTATCATATGCAAACAGCACAAAAACACTGTAGGATGAATAGATGAGCACACAGGTAGTCGTGAGCTTGGTAGCAGAGGAGGGGAAGATGCTCAGTGACAGAGGTAAGAGGAGGAGGAGGACAGCAATAGGCAATCCAAAGAGGATAACCAAGCTCTGGGAAAGGTACAGGGAGAGCTCTTTTGTTCAGAGCACTGAGGTGGGTGGGAGAAGAAGCAGATGAAAACATGCAAAGAAAAGCAGGGCCTGGAAAAGGGACGTGGAACTTATAATGCACCAGTACAGGAGCTTTGCAAGAGCCACTGAAGTTAACAGCACAGACCTTGTGTGAGAGATTAAAGATGATCCTAATTCACTCTATTATCAAGACTTTTCTCCCACAATTCCTGGAACATCCTTCTGAAGCTGAGCTGAGCTCCTGTGCTGGACACCTGCCAGACTTGGGGGCTGTCTGTGGAAGAGAGGGGGTCACTCTGCCACTTTCCTGCCACTGTCACCCTAGCACCCTAATCTTATGTTCCCTTGGATGTTTATTTGCTCTTTTTGTAGCCAGTGTTATTTCAGAGTACTTTAGGAAACCTTTAGCACCTTTGGTTACTTTATCAAACAGAGTAACTCTGGGTAGAGTGATGGTTTCCCACATGAGCTATTGTATGTCAGTACAGCAGGCTCACATCCAAAAACCCTTGTGTTTCAGGAGACCCCATTTAACAGGAGCCACAAAGGAAGTAGCTGTTGGTGGCCCTGGGTGGGAGGAGTTGACCAAAGTCTTGGTTCCAAAACTGCAGAGCTGAGGTGGCACAAGCCCTGTCTGAGGGGGCTGCTGGCTCCCCCAGGGTGGGAGAGGATGGGCTGACTCATGTCAGGAGGTCCAGGAAGGTGCCCTTTGCTCCCACACTGTGGGGTTTGGATCTGGTAAGCCATTGGGAAATCCTTTGATTGTTTCCCTCTGACCTGCTGAACCTCCCACAAGATGACTCATGTGCAGCAAAGGATGTGCCCCTTTGCTGGAAGTGCCCCTCCTCAGCTCCACGGATGCTGAGCAGCCTGGGGCATGCCTGCTTTACCCAGCCCTAATGAAAGTTCTCTTTTCCAAGAAAAGCTGGTAGTGAGTGAGCAGAGATTTCCTGGCTTGATCCACAAATGTTTTCTCCTGTACTCTCCTCCCCAGATGCTTGGTTGCTCTTTTGGCAGTTCACCCCTGCTGCTTGCTGGAGGGACACCTTCCCAACTAACTCCCATGAGCAAGGAGATAAGAAGAATGAAGGCTTCTGGGAAGCTCCATGTTTCTCTCTGACTGACTGGAATAAATCTCTTTCACCTCTTTTCTTCTCTTCCAGCCAAGCTTAGGAAGTACAGGCTTGTCCTCTTCCACCCAGCTCTCTTTGTGGGATTTTTGCTGCCTCAGGGTTGCTCTGTGTCTATGTCAGTGATAGGATTTGGTTCCCAGGAGTGCTAACCCAAATAAACTCAGTGCCACCTCAGCCCCAGATGGGAATGAGGAGGTTGTTGGGTCATTTGGCATGGACTGGCTGAGCTTTCTGCTCGGGTTTGGGGGAGATGTGCTCTCAGCAGGGTGCTGGGCTGGGGCCCTGGCTCATCTCACACACTGCCAGTGCCTGGCAGAGGCAGCCAGGTCAGGCCAGGACTGTGCCATGTCAGTGCCAGGCAGGGAAAGGACAGTGCCACCTCCTGCTGGGGAGCAGAGATGAATAAGCTCTGAGAACATCTTTACACCTACGAACAATGAGCAGAGGTTGAGCTGGCAGCAAGCAGCTATTCTCATTGCTCCAGAGGAGCTGAGCTGATTTGCAGTGTAATTAATATGCATCAGATCTAGAAACCTGAGATCAGGGGTTTGGCTTGCTCAGAAAATATCTTTCCCTGCTTATTATTATTGCTCCCAAATGAAATTCTTTGCAGGAGTGGAGAGTGTTCTTGTGCTACTGACAACATACCTCCTCCTGTTTGTTTGTTTATTTTCAAAGCTCGGTGTTTCTAGTTTCCTGTCTGGAGCTTGCTCTCCCAGGCAGGAGGGGAAGGCGTGCTCAAGTGCCCATCAGCAGCAAAGGCAGGAGTGCAGGCAGGAGTTCTCTCCAAAAACACTGAGAAGAAGCCAGGACGATCACACCCACCTAAAAATAAACACTAACATATGTACAGGCCTTTGTGAGCTGAATCACTGCTGGATGCCAGATCTCCCCAGAGTCCTGCCCAGAGATGGTGCAGCAGTCTGTCAGGGAGCAGCCTTGCTTCCTGCAGCTCTGGGAGAGGTGCAGCTTTTGCTGCTGTGCTCACAGATTTCCAGGACCTTTGTGTAATGGAAGGGAGCACCAAGACGAGCTGCTGACACTGCTCCATGTGCTTTTGCAGGTAGCTGTGGTGCTCTTGTAGCTGCAGACAGGAAAATGCAGCTCCTAATTCCTGTCAGGAAGTGTAGGGTACTGTGGGACAGACTGTGGAAAAAAAAATTATGTCTGCAAGGGCATTTCTTTGTCATGTGTTCCTTGCCATGATGCCTGCTAGGCTCAGGACTGATGTGGTTTGTTTTAATTTTGGAGAGCCAAGATGGGAAGAATGGTGGGCAGGAGGAGAGGCAGTGTGGGGGTTTGCACTCCCACACCCTTGGCAGGGAACAGGTTCAGGGTTTGTTAAATCACACAACAAACAGAACCCAGGGGCATCACCTGAGAAATGGAGGCACCACTTGTGGTGAGGGTGTCCTGACCTTGCCCAGGGGAGCTGCTCTCGTGGTGCTGCCCCTGGAGACCTTTGTGTGTGTGTCAGTGTGGGGGTCCTGGCCATGGGGCTGGGCAAGGCTGGCAGTGAGGCAGCTGGGGAGGTGCTGGTGAGCCCTGGGCAGGGTCAGCAGAACTCTCCTGTCTCCAGCCACAGCACTGTCTGGGCAGATGTGGGGTGTCTGATATGTCACTCAGAGGAGCATCCTCTTGGCTGGAATAGCAAAGGAAGTACAGGTCAGGGAAGAGTTCCTTAGCATTCCTTAGCACGTGTGGGGAAGCTGATGGTTCCTGCTTGTACTGGCTGTGAAGTGAGGCAACACTGACAGTTATACACATTGGTGGAAATAAAGCCTGCCCAGAGCTGAATGCCCTGACTTCTGCTTAAAAATCAGTGGGAGGTATCTGTTCCAGGTGTTCACTGAGTCCTGCTGATCCTGACAGCACAGTGGAGGACCTGAGCACAGAGCAGGGCATCAAACTGCTGTGGTGGTCACTGGAAGGAGCACACAGCCACCTGTCTACATGCCAGCATTCCAGCCTTTTGGGCTTTTAACTATGGAGGCATCTGTCCCACCCCTCCCCCATAAGGAAATGAGGAAAGCAATGTTCTGCCTACCAGTGTGTGCCCCTTCTTTGGGAGGCTGTTAAACTCCGTGGAACTAGAAGCAGGATTAAAGGCATCAGAGTTGTGCAGCTTCTTTGCATCTTCTAGGTTTGGGGAATCTTTATATGATATATAAAGAAGATTCCAATAGGCATGTGGTGAGGGTACATCCAGATGGTCCTTTTAAAGCAAAGGCTGATAAGGGACTCCTGAGAACTTTACCAGATAGACATGTTCAGGAATTATCCCTTAACAGCACTTGTAATGAAGAAGCAGCCGTGGCGTTCAACTGTTAATGTTGACAAAGTCGTTCTGTGAAAGGGAGAGAAGGGGTCGAGGAGAGCTTTGCTGTCCCTGCTGGGGTGGCTGAAGCTGCAGCAGAGGCTGGGAAGTGGCTGGGAGAAGCGGCTCTGGGAGAAGCAGCTCTGGGAGAAGCGGTGTGTGCTGCTCTCTGCTGGCTCGGGAGGGGACGATCCCCTGGCAGGGATTCGGGGACTCGGGAGCTGGGCAGTGACTCACAGCAAACTGCACTTGGGCTCAGGAACAGGTGATGGAGAGAAGCCCGAAGTCTGAGCCAGCACCAGGGTGGGGAGAAGATGCATGGCTCTTTCTGCCTTTGGAGAGAGGGCTGCAGCAGGGGGCAGAATGGACAGCAAGGAGTATTTCAGAGGCTTTTTCATTTTTCTGAGTTCAACAAATGTACTGAATTTGCTCTGGTAGGAGTCGAGTTTAAGGACTGTGTTGCCCCAGTGCCAGATTTGGAGCTGGTATTGCACTGGAGCATTATTTGGAGCTGGTATTGCACTGGAGCATTATTTGGAGCTGGTATTGCACTGGAACATTATTTGGAGCAATATTGCACTGGAGCAATTCTCCTGTTTTCTCCCCAGCACCGGCAGCTGCTGAAGGACAGTTTCATGGTGGAGCTGGTGGAAGGGGCTCGCAAGCTGCGCCACGTCTTTCTTTTCACTGACCTCTTCCTGTGTGCCAAGCTCAAGAAGCAGATTGGAGGGTGAGAGTTTCCTTTTGGACTTCGTGCTTTGCACCTTGGCTGCAACAGGATCCTGGGCTTAGCCTGCAGTGTTAGCTGCATATGGATACCCCAGGCCTGGGTAACCATCATGCACAAGAAGTAGTTAGATAAGCAATGATCAGCAAGATAGGAATGTTTACTGTATGAGATCCTAAGTCCTGACCCCTCAGGAAAAGTAATTCCTCCTATCCCTGCCCTGAGCCTACCTATGAGAGCAGGATATGTTGTAGCTGCTGGTATTCTGGACAAATGTCAATCATTTTTCTGTTTGCCCTTTCTTTTAATAGGTGACATTCTTCACTTGTTTTTATGACTAGGGTTGTTAATTTTGGCTTTGCAGCTACAGCCTGTTAACAGTTTTACAGAAAAATGGCAAAGTGCAGTAAACAGACTATGTGTCAAGCCCAAAGTGCAGTTATTAAAGCAGTTTTGCTGACAATTTTCACATGTGAGGGGGGAGGAACCATTGCCAATGCACTTGCCTCAAACAGGGCTTCTCCTCATTTGGTAAATGTTTTTCTTGGGGAGACATCTCTTATCTTCTTGCTGTCCTCAAGCAAAAAAGTTATGTCTGCATGTGCTTGTGAGGAATGAACCTTCAAAAAAGTGGGACATTCCCAAGAGTGGATGTTCCTGACAGCACAGTAAGAGGGAATAAATGACATGAAACATTAAAAAAGTGCTGCTTATCCTGGTGAAATCCCTGGAGAATGGCAGCTATGAGCTGTAGTTTCTCTCCCTGGCTGGATTACACAGAGGTTTATATGCATTGGCTCATCTGCCCCAGCTTGACCCCAGCTTGGTCATGAGAGACTCAGGTTCAGATCCCAGGGGGCCACCAGGTCACAGGTGTGGCACAGCTTTAGAGCTTTGCCACACCAGAGGCTGCAAAGAGAGAGCACACAGGACCAAAATTGTCTGCAGGAGATGGATGTGGTGGTTCCTTAGGATGAAAAGAACTAGATAACAAAATGAGTTGCCTTTTTATGTGCTGTACCAGCTACTGGCCCTGCTAGGCTGTCTTGCTGAAAAGCAACCTGTTGCCAGACTTTTTCCATATGGGAATCACAGTAAAGTTGGGCCAGTATCTGCATCTTCTGCACTATAGCAGGGGAGAGCTTGTGGGAAGGACTGGGTGTTGCCAAACACCAGTAGCAGTAAAAGGTTTGGACCTCCTGCCTTTCAGAAAAAGCCAACAGTATGACTGCAAATGGTACATTCCTCTCACTGACCTCAGTTTCCAAATGGTGGATGAGTCTGAGGCAGTGCCCAATATCCCACTGGTACCTGATGAGGAGCTGGATGCCATGAAGATCAAGATATCCCAGATCAAGAACGACATCCAGCGGGAAAAGGTAAAGGAGTAGAGCACTCCAGGGCAATGCAGACACAGGTCTGTGCTCAGAGGAGGTGCTGGGGGCAGCTCTCCCAGGGCTGCACAGGGTGGGGAGCCAGGCTGCAGCAGGCTGTTCAGCAGGGGCTTTGCTCATCTGAGTGCACAGCCTGGCTGATCCTGCCCTGTGAGGAGGCAGAGACAAAAGGACCCTGTGGTTGTACCCAGCAGCTCCTCTATTCCTATGAGCATCCATGTGGAGAGCAGGGATCTTATGCTGCAGACATGAAAAGGACTGGGAGTGTTATTTGCCAATTTCTGGCTGTTAAATTGTGATCCTGCCAGTGATTTTTGGTCAGAAGCCATATACTCTTGAATTTTAGCAGGCTCAGTTATGCCTTTGAAGCTTTTTCCTACTTCACTGATGTCAAAGCAGCAGCAAATGCATAGAAAGCAGCAATTATGCTGACAGCCAGACATGGACATGGTGTCTCTGGCCCAGGCTTCTCTTTGCTTGCAAGATCTGTCTTCTGAGAGCTGTTAGATCCCAAACCTTCCTGGAGCCTAAAAGAGAAATAAGAGTTTGAACACTGTTGGTATGTAGGGCAGGATATGAGTAACATTGATCGTGCTGTGGGAAGGTTATTCCCCACATTTCCAAAGAACATGCTTCTGCCTCACAGCCCTGGCTGGCTTTCAAAGAGGGCTTCCTGGAAAAAGTAAGGTATTAGGAAGAATTGTGGAAGCTGTTTACTCAAGCTGCAGGTGTCTAAGGTTCGTGCTTTGATGCATCAGTGCTAAATAATACACATGGCTGGGTTTGGTAATGGATTTTATCCAGGAAAAACCAGACTTTTAGCAGACTTCTGATGAAAATGGATCAGTGGGTGGTGAGTGGGAGAGTTCTGTGCAGTTTCTACAGAAGTTCCTTAGAGTCTCCTTAGTTAAGGACACTTGGAGGACCTGGCAGTGCTATGGCTGCCCAGTGACATGATGCTACTGCAGCCTCTGGAACAGAAAATACAGGGTACAGCTGGGACAGTGGCCACACACCTCTGCACTTCAGCTGGGACAGCTGGAATCAGGGAACAGTGCCCCATCCATGTGTAGAGATAGTGCAAAAACACCCTTCTGAGCAGCTGGGAGTCCTGTGGATCCTATTGAGAGCATTTCTTCTGCTCTGGGGCTATTTACCTACTCACAGGGTAGACACTGTGGATTTCAAAATAGCAGCTTGTGTAAATGAGGGCAGATTTGAAGAATAACCCATGTCCTCTGCTCCCTCTCTCCTACACCCTTCAGAGAGCCAATAAAGGCAGCAAGGTCATTGAGAGGTTGAAAAAGAAGCTGTCAGAGCAGGAATCCCTCCTCCTGCTGATGTCCCCCAACATGGCCTTCCGCGTGCACAATCGCAACGGCAAGGTGAGAGCGCCATGGCCTCAGGGCCAGGGATCCTGGGGCTTGTGTCTGTGTCTGCACGTGCTCCTGCACAGTGGGGGCTCTGTGGCCTCTACTGTGTGTCCTCAAAGCACTTCCCAAGCAGCAGCCACCTCACCCTTGCTGTGCCAAAGGTTTTGATGGCATCCTATAAGGCTGTGATTAATTTGCATTCAAGACTGGCATTTAAGAAATAACCATAGAAATGAATCCTCTGTCTCAGCACCAGTCCTGGTGCAGCATGTCACTGCTTCATTGGTGTCTAGGCCTGTGCTGGAGGCTTTTGGCATTCCTGGTGCAGCTGAATTCCTGTTGTGAGGAATAGCACAAGCTGCCATGGGAGCTGCTGCAGGGCCACAGCTGCCCTTGGCAGGGTGGGGCTCTGTGAGCTCTGAGTGTCCATGTTGGTACTGTGGGCACATTGCCAGAGCCCAGCCTGTCCTGACAGAGATGTGATGCAGGATAAGTGGCAGGAGTGCCAGCAGAACAGTCTGTCCAGCAATGTGCACAGGGGGAGGGTGGGAGCAGGCAGGCCCTGCCCTCAGTGCTGCATCAGACTAATGCATACCCTGTTTTCTTCTGTGTTCCTGGGTAGAGTTACACATTCCTCATTTCATCAGACTATGAAAGGGCAGAGTGGAGGGAGAATATCCGGGAACAGCAGAAGAAATGTGAGTATCCCTCAGCTGTCATTGGTACAAATCATGTGAGGAATGTGTAGATAGAGCAGTTAGTAAGTAAATGTGTGTAGAGATTCTCCCATTTACCCTAGAGATCAGAGCTCAATGCACTTCCAGGTAGGGGGAAGAGCCGAACCCTTTCCACTGGCTCCATTCAAGATAAACTTAGTTACTTTTATGGCATGGTGGTTTTGGCTTTGCAAGGAACTAAGAACCCCTCTATTTCCAGTGAAGCATCCTGAGGCTTGGAGGAGTAACTGAATATGCCCCCAGCAGAGCTGCCTGCAGCAGTACTGCCCTGAGCACCTCGGTGCTGCTGCTGAGCAGTGCCCAGGGAGCTCTGTCCCTGTGTGCCCAGGATGAGGGGTCATGCATCCAGCCTCTCCTTGGGATTTTTACTCCTCCCTCTTGCAATCTCCTTGGCAGGCTTTAAAAGCTTCTCACTCACATCAGTGGAGCTCCAGATGCTGACAAACTCCTGTGTGAAGCTTCAGACAGTGCACAACATTCCCCTCACCATCAATAAGGAAGGTAAGACCTTAGGGTTTTGCTTTCACGTGGTGCAGCTGCAGTGGAACTCTCCCCCTGCCTGATTTTGTGCTTTCCCCTAGAGCTGCTCTTACTGTTCCCTTTTGCTACTGGTTGCAGGCATCCTCCAGTATACATGAATCAACTACTAAATGGTCCTTGCATGCTGCTGTTGTGCAAGGTATTGGAGTGCCTGGTGGAGTCCTAGCCTGGGACAGCTTTGAGCTGTGTCTGAGAATCCTTTGGAACAACACTAGTTGGCCAAAATTGTGTCAGGGGCCATCCTAAATTACTACATAATCTGCTAATGTTGACTTAGCTGCTATAATTTTTTTCTCCTTTGAATTTCTTCCATGCTGTCTTGCTGATCCTAGAACTGTCACTGTAAAAGCCCCCACTGCCAGCAGGTATCACAGGTGCCAGCTGAGGAGCAGTCTCCTGTCTTGCTGAAGTGGTTGTTACTTGCTCCTGCCATTCTTGGGGACAGTTCATCCTCTGCTCATTAACCTGTGTAATACCAGTCTCATCACTCTCACTCTTGGCTCTACTGAGAATGTAACAAAATCCCTTGGGTCTTTTGTACAGATGATGAATCCCCAGGTCTCTATGGATTCCTGAATGTCATTGTCCACTCTGCCACGGGGTTCAAGCAAAGCTCAAGTGAGTTGCAGTTCTGGGGCACACAGGAGGTACTGATAGGGGGTAGATAAGCCCTGTGCTGGGACAGCTGGGCATGGATTGCAGCATCTGTGGGGATGGTGAGGAGGAGAGGTGCTTGGGGAGCTGGAAGTTCTACTCTTAACTCCCAAAAAGATCAGCATCAAGGATTGAGCACACAGCATTTATTGTTAGGCCTAGTCTGTTTGAGGTTTTAAGCAGTGTTTGCTGATTACCCAGCTGTATTAGAAACAAGTCAGCCCTTATCCTCAATTCTATCAGCTGTATTTTGTTTTACAATGAAAGAATGAAAGGTGTTCTCTGGCATCCAGAATTTTTGCTGGGAAGAAAGTGGTGTTAAAATTCGGGGGAATGACTTGACAGAAGGATCAAAAAAGGTGACAGAGCTTCTTAAGGACAGCTGGGCTGGTCAAGGTGATGAGATTTGTATGGGATGGTGTTACTAATACAGAGATTATGGAAATGAAGACACCTTGTGCAAGTGGTTATTGCAAGTTAGGAGATTGTTGATATTTTTTTGAAGTTTTTGTCTCCCCTGTCTCCCCTCCTCAGATTTGTACTGCACGTTAGAGGTGGATTCTTTTGGGTATTTTGTGAACAAGGCCAAAACTAGAGTTTACAGAGACACCACAGAGCCCAACTGGAACGAGGTAGGTTTGATTTTTCTTGATGTGACTTGTTCCATGTGCCAAACATCAACACATGGTGGGCAGAAGACCTGCCAGTGAAGGAGGCTGCTGCATGCTCAGCCCTTGTGCTGCACATGCTCCTTCTCAGAAAACACTTTTCTGCCAGGTTCATTTTGCTGTCAGGGCTTGCAGAAGATTTTCTCTTGGATTAGTGGTAGTTAAACAAACAATTTGATATAAATGAATCTTGTCCAGTATTGAATCTTTTAAACAGATGCATGCTTGACAACTTTTTTAAAGACACAAGTAAAAATATGTTGAAGGAGATGGTTTTGTTTATTTGTTGAGAGGGGGAAGAATCAGCCATAGACATTTTGCCTGTTTACAGCCAACTCAGACCTGCTGGTGAGCAAAATTTCTAGAAAAGCAAATTTGTGTCTTTGAATAATGCTTTACTGAGACCTGTGAAACCTAAGGAGTGAACCATCTTGGTCTCCAATTTGACCATCTTATAGATACAAAATACGAATTCTGCTTATTTCTAGACCAATTTCAGTAGGGAGGAGGTTTTGGCCAGCCCTTAAGTGTTCTTCTGATGAGTATTAAAAAGACTGTATTGATTATTCTGAGACTGGTGTCCTGTTGTGATGCAGCCATTGCTCTTTCCTTTCCTGGTGCCCTGCAGGAGTTTGAGATTGAGCTGGAGGGCTCCCAGACACTGCGGATTCTGTGCTATGAAAAGTGCTACAACAAAACCAAGCTCACCAAAGAGGATGGAGAGAGCACAGATCGCATCATGGGGAAAGGACAGATCCAGGTAAGGCTGTGCTCAGCTCATTCCTGATACCCTTACTGCAAAACATCACAGGACTTTTGAATCCTGCTGTTCACCACAGAGGTTTTTTCTGCCTTCTGAGTGTCTCAGCATTGAAGATTTTTCCCTCAGATAGTGAGGTACACAGTGTGATTCACAGGCAGGGAATCAGCAGCTTTGTCCTCTTGCTTTGTGCCCTGTGCCTGCTCCATGGAATAGCTGCTTGTTTTGATCTCTCATTTGCCCATTAACTTCAAAACTTCCACACCACTGTACAGGAAGTGCCCCTGGGCACTGGTGAGGGTGCTTCATTTGTGACAGGAGGATGCAAGAATATTCTCTCTACTCTGTAAATCCTGTGCACAAAGGCTGCCATCTGTGTGTGCTGGAAGTTGATGGATGTGTTGGCCAGGCCCTGGGACAGCCTGCCTGTCCTAGTGACTGCCATGCCCAGAGTGTGGTGTCCATGACAGCATCTGAGGAACATTTCCACTGCTGGGAACTGGCCTGGGACACTTTGTGTGGCAGATGTGTAATACACTGGGGGAGGTGATGATTGCACAGGGCTGCTGCTCTTGGGGAGCTGCTGGGTGACAGAGCACTAAAGCTGGATGTAGGAGAAATCAGGCCTTGTATGGAAACCATGGGGAACATGTGTCCTCCATCCTGTTCCATTTGTTGCACTGTCTGTCCACAACTTTAGGAGGGTGTTTAAATGCCTGCTCTGAGGACACATTCTTTGTGTAGGAGTGGCTGTTGAACAGAACAGGGACCCTGCCCAGATACCTTTTCCTTTCTGGCATGTCCAAAGATCTCACCAGTTCCCCTCCATTTAGTCTGGCTGTTCTCCTCCCTGTGGATGGCAGCTTTCCCTGGCCATCCCTGCAGTCATGGTCATGCAGGCCAAGGCCATTTCTGGGATTGCAGAAGCAGCTCAGGGTGAGGGTGGTCTGTGGGATCACATCCCACCTTCGCTCTGGCAGGGTTCATTGCCTAAATGACTTGGATCAGCCTCTTCCTTCCCTCTCTCCTGGTTTCAGAGAGAGCCTTTGTCTCAGATGCATGAATTATTGTAATATTGAAGGGAGCTGGTGTGCAGATCAATAAATGCCAGCACAGGCTGCTGTGTGTGAGTGTCTCAGCTGACCAGGAATCCCTGTGTCCCTTCAGCTAACAAAGGCTGTTTTCCACAGAGCTGAGCAACTACAAAAGAGCAAGTCTTCAGCCCTGAAATGCCCTGGAGATTTGTGTGCTCATAACAGAGAACCCTGAAATCACTGACCTGATAAATTCTACAAATATGTTACATAGAAAGATTATTAAAAAAAAAAAATCTTTCAAAATTTGGCAATTTTTTTCCTTCTCACAGCTGTGGGCATTTTTATGCACAGCAATTTTATATTCTGTAAATATATTTTATACTTTAGTAAATAAAAATACTCTTTGATGGCAATTAAATATTAATTGCATCCTGATTCTTTTAGAGAAACCTAGACAGTGGGAAGGTTAAAAAATCAATTAAAATGTTTTTAATCAATGCACAAATGTTGCATTCTGTTGTATCATAAAAGGCACATGCAAAAGCTCTCTTGGTTTCTATAAATCCCCTTTGCAGTTTATAAAGAAACTTGATGAATTGCCAGAATAATCCTTTAATTTCTGTCTAATCAGTGATTTCTGTCCCATCATGGATTTCAAACACTATTGAATCAAAGAGAAGTCATATGACAGTCTGGTAAAATTTTGCATTGATGAAAATTATTAAAGGTTTTGATTTTGGTTTAGTTCCATTTTTGAAGTAAACACCATTTCTCTATTAAGAAACCATAATAATGCAACAACAAAATCTGATTACAGCCTGAAGGTTGGCTGTTCTCCCAGGTGCTTTTATATCAAATTTTGTTTACCTTAGAGTTTGTAGTTTATCCTGGGTTTCTGATTTGTTGTTTCACTGTCATTATTCAGCCCAAGTGTGTCTGTCTAAAGGCAAGGTCTGTGAGGTTGGGTGAGGATTTTTGTTACATAAATTCCTTTTAGTTAAAAACTCTGGGAACATGAAGAGTCGTGTCTGCATCCTCCTGTTGATAAAAGCAGAGCAGTTTCTCTGTTGGCCAAATTGCAGTGTATTGTTAAGCCATGAATGATTGTAAATATGCAACTTCCCACTACTGGGAATTCTGACTCACCAAATAGTGAGCCTCAGTGATGAAGACAATCAAGGAGACTGGGACTGTTTTGGCTGTAGAAATGTTTGTTAAATCTCTCCGTTACATTATAGCAGTGAAGGAAGGAAGGCTGGAAATTGGTCCATGTCACAAGTTTCCAGGAATGGGCAGCAATTTGAATGGCTCCCATTGCTCATACTTTCTTTTCCTATGGAATATTTTATTTGTCTGTCTGTACAGCCAGGGGCAAGAGCTGCTTCTTTCCTGCCAGTCTGCAGGTTTTTTTTCTCTGAAACATAAACCCATGAGGTTTTAGTGTAGGAGAACCTCCTGTAAATGTAGGGGTGAAGTCCTCACCAGACCTGGGCACAGCAGTGCTGGGTGTGCAGTGCTGAACTGACTGGCACACGTGGCTGGGGGCTTCTGTGCACCTCAGGGATGAGAAATACTATCCCTGAGCACACTGTGAAATGAAATTCCTGGGGAGCTGGAGGAGGACAGAATGGACATCACATGATGGGAGGAAATGTGAGGCTTAGTTCAGCTGTGGGCATAAGCCCCTCTCATTGTGAGCACCCTGGGCTTTTCTTTCTGTTGTTACCTTGCAGTCCATCTTTGGCACTTGGCTGGCCCTTTGGCTCCTTGAATTTTGTACTTCGTGTGGCAGAAACACACCCATGTGTGGAGTGCAGCAGCTTTTGTTTGGTGTTGAGACTGCACCATCGGGCACATTTGCCAGCAGGACCAGCGTGGATGTGGGAGCTGTGAGTGAGTGAAGTGATCTCACTCTGTGATCCAGCTCCTCCCACCTGTGCCTCCTAGAAGTGCCATTTCCTTTGCTGTTTTCTTTTTCTGCATGATCAGCTCAAGCTAAATATTTCCTTCTCCCTCACAGCAGTGCTGGAAAATCAGGGAGGATGTGACCTTAGATCACTCATTCTATGGAGCAGCACCATTCCCAGCTGCCTTGCAGAACAATCACTCTTATCTTAATTATCTGGGATGTCTCATAGCAGTGCCCATGGCTATTTCAGGCATTAAGTTGTTTTCCATGTAAACCAGATTGTCCCATGTTGTACCTCCCCAGTGTTAACTTGAAACCTTTTACTCACTCGAGCTTGTTTAAACAGTTTGCTGAAGCAGAACATTGTCCCAGCAATGAAAACAGGGGGGAAATGAAGAAGCCAATGGGTCATGCCTAAAGGGTGATAGTGGGAAAGATTAACCTGTCAGTGGGGAGCTGTGAGAAGAATGGGGTTATGGCAGGACGGGGAGTTCCCAGCAGCAGTGAGGCTCTGACAACATGTATGTCACATTAGTTACAGCTCAGAATTGATGGGGTGTAAAGTTGCCTGGGAAATTTAATAAAGGGAAGAAGTAGTGTGAATGTACTGTATATATAAAACACACTAACCTTAATGTTCCACAGTCCATGCTCTTTCATTTCCACTGAGGCTTCTTTGTTTTTTCCCTCCTTCTGCATGTTTTCTTTCCTCTCTGGGGAAAAAGAAATCATGATCAATCTCTCTGTGGTGCTTTCCTAGGGCAGAGCATAGACACCCTTCCTAGTGCCTGGCTTGCATTTGCCAGAGCACATCCCCAGTTTGCCTTTTTCCAGTTCTCAGCATGCTGCTCTGCACTCTCAGCCTTTCCTGACTGCTGTGCCCTGTCTGAATTCAGTGCTGAGCTGCTACAAGGGGCAGAGAGCTGCACTCAGAAACCCCTGTGGTGCTGAGCTGCTTTGTTCTCTTGTGTTTTGGGCAGGAGACAGAGAGGTATTGGCTTGATTCATTAGTGACTTTGAGGCTGTAGCTTGCCACTGCAAATACCAAAGGCCACAAGGGGACTGGAGGGAGCAGCAAACAGACAGAGTGGTTGGTTTGCATTTTCCTGTTCAGCATGAGCTTTTGGTTGGGGCTGTGCAAAGGAGCCCATGCAGTGCAGCCTGTGAGGGTTTTAGCAGGTCTGGCCTATTTGCACAGAGCATGGGAACAACACAGTGGCTCTGCTGCAATGGAGATGGGGCAGGTCACTCAAACCAAAGCACTGTTTGGAGGAACAGTGGAGAGGAGCAGTAAATTCCACTGGCAATGCAGAGGCAGCAGCTGCACAGTGCCTCCCCTGCCTGAGCTGGAACAGCTTGCTCAGAGCTGCCTCCCTTTGCCATGCTGGCTGTGGATTGCATTCCTCTGCTCAGTGTTCCTTCTTTCAGGTCACTGATCTCCAAATCAGGCCAGAAGACAGCATGGCCCCGTTTGTCCTCTGTGCTGGAGCATCACTCTTGCTAGCTCACTGTCCTCAGCGTGCTCTCTCCCTGCCTGCTCCAGCTGCCCTTTCCCTCTGTTGCTCTTGCTGGCCTCAGGTCAGTCATCACTTGGGACCACGACTGAAGCTTGATTGAAGTCCCAGTGACAGTTTTTGGTTTCCTGTTGACTCTGTTATGTCCTGCTGTGACTTATCAGACTGTTAGACCTGATCTTCCTGTCTCACTCAGTGTTGCTGAGAGTTTATTCAAGCTTTGCTCTTTTAATAGCTTCCATCATTTTGCTTTGTTATTTAAAAAGCACCTTGGAGGAGTTTGGGTTTTTTCCCCCCTTAATTACTGTTGTTATTGCCAGTGATTAATGCAGGGTTGGCTGGGTCAGCCAGCCCTGGTGCCTGCTGTCCCTGGCTGTCTCCATTCAGTACAAGGCATTTTCCAGCAGGAGTCAAACAGTAGGAGGGAGTGCAGGGGTTCTGCCAGCTCTGCAGGAGAGTTCAGAAACAAGGGAGCAAGAGGCAGCAGCAGGTACATGGAGCTTTACTCGTAGTCCTGGCTCAGCCCCAGCAGTTATCCAGCCAGGAAAAGTCTCTGTGAGCTCTCAGCTCCAGCAAGGAAAAGTCTTTGCAAGTTCTCAGCTCCAGCACTCTGATTCTGCTTGTTCTTTGCAGCAGTGTCAAAGTTACTCTTGAGAAGAGAGCAGGATGGTTTTATTTTTTAACAGCTATTTACTTGATTTTGGTTTGTGCTGTGACAGGAATTCCCTGGTCATTACTGAGACATACCCAGTAATACCTGTTAGCTTAAATAAACCATAACTGGATTCTGCTGGACTCTTCCTTTGAAGTTTTTGGCAAATATTCAAACCCTCTTTCCCCTTTAGTCTTAAACTATAAATAATATGACCCCCTGCTATAAATAATACACTCAGTGACTCCATTCTAAAAGCATATGGAAAACTGGTTCCCAGCAAGAGGATTGGCTGTGACTGTGTCCATCAGCAGGGCCATTTTGGCAGCTTAACAAGATGACTCCTCAGAGCTGGAGATCAAGCTTTCAGGAATAGTTAGCATGGTAGCTCCTCATAGGAAACCAGACACTTCAGAAATGGTTTCCTCTTGATTCTGGGAAAGAATTCAGTTGTTGAAAGAAATCAAGCTTCCAGCACGGAAGTTCAGGGTAGAACAGCCTAGAAACCGGCCAGCTCGTAGGGCCCTTGGCCAGCCCCACAGGCGGGGCGGATCTGTTCTGCCGGCGTTAAAAGCAAACCCCCTTGGCGAGCAGTGCTGTCTTTGGGGTCGCTGAGGCACTGAAGCCAAGCACTGCTGCCCATCCTTTGCACAATCCCAAAATGTGGGAGCTGCTGGTTGCTGACAATTCCTTACAAGGGCTCTTCAGGAATTTCTGCCAGCGTTGCACCTACAGGAGCCGGTCCAGTTTGCCATGGAAGCCTGTGCGTGCTGGCAGCATCCCGCTGTGGGCTCACGTCCGTAACAGAGCGCGCAGGGACAAGGTTGGCCTCGCTTGTTCTGTGCTGCTTGGGGTCCCTGCAGTGGGAGGAATTGTGCTCTCTGCTGCTTGCCTTTCTTTGGGGAGCGGGGAAGGTTTAGGTGGGGGCTTGTCTCTGTAGCTGTCAGCAGCACTGGGCTGCTCTGTTGATGATCTGAGTGTGACCATGACCGTGTCTAAGCTCTCCCAGAATTTCCTGCAGCTGCCATTGTTCCAGCATTTCCCTCCCCTGCCAGAGCTCTCTGGCCCTGCACGGGGCTCTGTGAGAGGGGGGAGCTGTGCTGCAAAGCAGCTCTGGTTATGACTGCCTGTTTGCTGACAGCAGTAACCTCAAAACAGAGTTTGCTGCACTTGCCTCCTCCTGGTCTTACTGTGCCTCCGTGTTCAAGAGCCAAGTGTTACAAAGCTGTCTCAGGAGGCACTGAATTCTTGCTTTGGTGGTTCCAATGGCTGATCAAGCCCCCAAGCAGACAGCTCCTCCTCTCCTCTCTCTTGCCAGTCTCCCTGGAGCTGAGTGCCACTGCTCAGGCCTTCAGATGTGTTTGGGCTCTCCCAAGGCAGTAGTGGAATTGCTGGGTGACATTCTAGCACTTGAGTCAGCTGCTCCCCAGCCTCACAACTGTCCACTCAAGAGATCAAGTGAGGCTGAAAATGAGAGATTGGAACTTGTTTCTGTTTAATGAGTGCTTGCAATGGCAGGGTCTGGTGTTCTTCCTGCCTCTATGCTCAAATAGAAATGAAAAGGAATAGGCTGTTTGAAGGACAACTTTCCATGATTTCTCAGCAGATTCAAATATTGGTTGTGCTCCCTGGGGTTGCCTTTATTGTTGAGCAGACACTGCTCTCATGCTGCTGGGTTTTCCATGGGTATAAACCCTCATCAGCCCTGTTTAGAGAACTGCACAATATCCAATACCTGGTTTCCCTGAAACAGGGAAACTTTGGAGTGTTCCATAGGTTTTCCTATGGAAAAGAAATAAGAAGGTAAAAGTGATGGTGCTCTGCTCACTTGCAGAAGCCTCCCAGGCTGGCTGGTTTCTCTGAAGTCTGTTCCTAGCTCATGGGTAACTTCTGTTTTCCAGCTGGACCCACAGGCACTGCAGGACAAAGATTGGCAGCGCACAGTCATCTCAATGAATGGGGTAAGTGTGCAAACAGAAATCAGCTCTGTTTCTGTACCTCCTGTGGGCTTTATTTCTTTGCTCTTCATTGCAGCATGAAAAAGAAAAGAAAATGTTCAAAAAGTGACAGCTGTTGTGTTTGGTTCAGGTGGAAGTGAAGCTGTCAGTGAAGTTCACCAGTCGGGAGTTCAGCCTGAAGAGGATGCCATCCCGCAAGCAGACGGGCGTGTTTGGGGTCAAGATTGCCATTGTCACCAAGTGAGCTGATGGGTCACGTTTCTCCCCATTGTGTTTCAGGAAGACAACTGGCCAGTGGGGTGCACTTGCCTGTGTCCCCTTGAGGGGTTTGGCAGTCCAGCCTGCTCCACTAGTGTAGGAGTGTAGCTGTGGCTGCAGACTGGAGATGCTTTACAATCTCTGAGCTTCATTTTTTGCAGAGATAAAAAGCAGTGTGCACACAGGCTGTTTACTGACAGCCTATCACTCCTCTGAATTCCGGAAATCCCCCTTGCACTTGCCTTCTCTGTAGTTAGCTGACATGGTCACAAATTTCCAGAGCCACTGAACAGTGATGTTTCCTTTCCATAATCAAAAATGTTCAAGGTCTTTGGATCCCATTGTATTATTTTAACCCCTGATCTTTTGTCATGAATCATTTGCCAGCAGAAACCTGTTTGTTCTGCTGTATGGTTTGGGAAGTGTGGTATTTCCTCCCCGTGGAATTGCATCAGTTTGAAAGCAAGAGAGTTGCTATGTATCCAAGGGCTGTTTGGGAATCCTCTGATTACCTGGGCAGAGTCGCAGGCTCTGGGACCTGGCCAAGAGCTGAAGTGCTCAGGGAAGCTGCAGAACAGCCAGAGCAAGGCTGAGACAGTCAGAAAAGGAGTTTTAAAAGGAGTTTTTCAGCTCAGTCCTGACTGCCCGCTCAGACTTCCTCCCACCCCATTTTCCAGAGGAGGTTCACCCAGGGAAATGTTGGGGCGCTCGGAGCCATCCTGGCTGGCTGGGGAACAGGCAGGGAGGGCCTGGGCTGAGCTGAACCCTTCTGTGTGTGTCCCCTCAGGAGAGAGAGGTCGAAGGTGCCGTACATCGTGCGGCAGTGCGTGGAGGAGATCGAGCGGCGCGGGATGGAGGAGGTGGGCATCTACCGCGTCTCCGGAGTCGCAACCGACATCCAGGCTTTGAAAGCTGCCTTTGATGTCAGTAAGTACTTGGGTCTGGTTTTTCCCTTTGCTCTCTCAGAACCTGCCTGAGCTCCCTGCCAGGTGACTGTGCTATTTTTAATCTTATGTTGCCCAAGAAGCCTTAAGAAGTAGAGACTCTCACTCAAGGAAAATAATTTTAACCCTGGCTGCGTATTTAATTTACTGATATAACCCAAGACTTACAAGAGGATGATCCTTGTACCAAACCATGCTTTTTTATTCTTCCCAGCAGAGATGAAATGATGGCTTTACCTGCCCTGCCAAATCTTTGTAAATGGCAGTACCTCTCTGGGGGAAAACATCAGCAATCAGAAATCACTGTTGTGAAGTGTCCAAATTAGTAGAAGTCCTTAAAATAAAGAATGTTTTGTGAAAGCCAATGTTCCTTAGAACTAGGAGGGGTATTTATGTAACTGGGGTTGGAGGGTCAGGGCTTCTCTCCCTAACTCCATCTGGACTGATGGGCACAGGCTTAGAAAATTAGATCACTTTGAGCAACCTTTGCAAAGCTCTCTTTGATCTTGACCAGAAAAAGGCTCCTTACTGGTGCTGCATTTAAAAGAGTGGCCTGTATGTCCCAAAAGGCACCTGAGATCAGGCAGGTGAAATGCTTCTGAATTGCTGAGGTACCAAAAGTGAAATTTTTCCCCACTTCCATCTTCCATGTGATGGTTGAAGAACTGTTCGAGCCACACTCCAACAGTCACAAGATCTGTGCCAGGCACTCAAATTCACCCTCCCTGCACTTTTCCTTCAGTTTCTAGTGAAATTTCCTTCTTGTGTTTTCTTTTCAATCACCCTAAGATATCAAAAACCACTGATGAATTGCTCCTAGTGCAAGTAAGGGTCTTTCACAGTTTGAAAAACAACTTTTTTCATTTCTGTGAAATGCTGGCTTACACTGCTTTATGAAACCAATGCTGATTGGTGTTTAGTTCAGGGAGAGGGGCTGGTTTTGTTGTTCTTAATAGTAACAAAAGGGAAATATAAGCCCTGAATTGCCTTAGCTGCACTCAATGGGGAGTTAGAGAATCTCAGAATCTCTTAGTCTAAGCTGTTAGAGGCAGGGAATTGGAATAACAACTGCTGTCAGTAATAAAAGTTGAAATGCATATAAATACAGTCAAGTAGGGCTTGTTCAGATCAGGCCAGGTTTGCTGGCACAGCACAGCTAGCCCTGGGAGGCTGAGGTTCTCTGGCTTGGTGTAAAGCAATGAAGTGTTTGCAATCATTTTTACAGTGCTTCTCAGCTGGAAGGTTGCTCATTTAATCTGGAGAAATGTAAACAGGAAAACTCCCAGCTATTTGGGCAGAGACGAAAGATAAACAGAGCCAAAGCGAGGAAAAGAAGGAATGCAAGGCCAGCAGTTCCTTTACCCCTCCTGTGCTGTCCCCTCTTCCAGATAACAAGGATGTGTCAGTGATGATGAGCGAGATGGACGTTAACGCCATCGCAGGCACCCTCAAGCTGTACTTCCGGGAGCTGCCCGAGCCCTTGTTCACAGACGAGCTGTACCCCAACTTTGCTGAAGGCATCGGTAGGTGCAGCACAAGGAGCCCTTGGTAATGGAGGCTCTGCCATGGGAGGCTGCTCTTAAAGCATCCTAGACCCCAGATTTAGAGTGCTGGATAAAAGCTGGGACAGGCTGTGAGGGGAGTGGGATGGAGCTCAGAATGACACTGCCTTGCCTTCCCATGTGGTGCAGGATGGGCGCCTGGCACGCTGTTGTGCAAGCTGCAAAGGCCCAGGTTTCTGAAGGACAGGTTCAGGACAGAATGCCCCTGCCTGCCCAGGCCCTGCACACTCACTGCCCAGGCAGGCTTCAGGGAAGCCCCCTTTGGAGGGGAGGGGTTTATGTACCTCATCTTGATGCAGAGAAAAACATCAATGATTGAAAGCCTCAAAGCGCTTGAACTGCTTTGAAGAAGAGAGAAAAGTGCATTTGTGAAATAAAGGAATGAGATGCTGTGGGGTATTGATGTGCAGCTCTGACCTTCCAGCCCATGAAGATGTAGTCACAGTCCTTTTGGGACCATCCATATTGGCTGCTCTAGGACTTGGCTCAGTCAGTCAGATTTGCACTCACTGCCTGTGGTGATGTCTTGTTCTCTGTCTTGTAGCACTTTCAGACCCCGTTGCAAAGGAGAGCTGTATGTTGAATCTGTTGCTATCGCTTCCAGAACCCAACCTTGTGACATTCCTTTTCCTTCTGGACCATTTAAAAAGGTAACATGTGGTTCCTACAGAAATGCATTTAATGTGTAAAGCATCAGCCATTGTGAAACTGGAGCCTTTTCTTTAAATACCTGCTGAATCACAGAAATGAGGAAGTATTTGCTGATCTGCTGGGAATGTTCATCAGATAACTATTGTCTCATACTCACTTAGTGAGGTAGTAAATCCTGAATTCCATCTCCACTCCTACTGAAAAAGGATTAGGACTGGAGGAAAGGAGTAACAAGAGTCAGGGCTTATCTATCACAAATGGAAATTTCTGCTGCAATGTCACTGAGACTGCACCTGCATCTGGATACACAGACCAGGAAAGGTTTTTGTACAAACCATGAAGATTTACCTATATTTAAGGTCTAGGGAACCTTTCCTTAGAAGGTGTCTGAAATCCAGTACAATCTATTTTTTAAATTCCAGCAGTTTGCCTAACTGCAGTTGTCAGTTCCTTTTGTAGTCAAGTCTTTCTGATTTTGTATATGCCTTTGTAATATGGTTGTACCTGTGAAAAAGTATTGCCATGCATTTGACATTAATGCAATAAGCTGGCTTAATGTTTGCCCAATGTGTTGATTTGCATAAGTATGTTGTACATATCAGAGGCTGTCCCTGGAGACATGAAAGATCATCTTGTGATTGAGAGTCTGGATTAAAATCCAGGAAATCTTTGCTTTAATTGTGTTTCTGCTACAGACTTTTCTGCCCTTGGGCAAAATTTTTAAACTTTGTACCTTGGTTTCTCATTTATAAAACTCAGATATTTATGAAGGTCTGCCTTTTGTGTTGTTTCTTCTCCCAGGGTTGCTGAGAGGGAAAGCGTCAACAAGATGTCCCTGCATAATCTTGCCACTGTCTTTGGACCAACACTGCTCAGACCTTCAGAGAAGGACAGTAAAATCCCTGCTAACCCAACCCAGCCCATCACCATGACTGACAGCTGGTCACTAGAAGTCATGTCCCAGGTAAAATCCTGAATGTGCCATTCCATCTTGTAAAGACACCTTCTAGGAAAGCACAGTCTGGGGCAGGCCTGGCTCAGTGACCCTGCTGGGCTTTCATGGTCATTTTTTTGGTAAACATAAAACAACTTTTGGCCTCACACAGACATTTTAGCCTGTCTGTAGAACAGTATTCCTTCAGGCAGGTCAATTTACATCAGTACAAATATGGTTTTTCATGAAGGAATGTCTGTGTGTGTGCATCCTGTGTGTGCTCCTGCATGGGAAGAGTTTAGTTTCTGGGGAGCTGTGTTCCAGTACCATGCTGCTGGCCTGGGATAAAAGAATTGGCAGTATTTCTACAATGCTCCTCAGCACTTAAACCACCTTCACTGATGCACAACAAAATTCTTTGGCCACTGCTGCCTTTGAAGGCAGAGGATTGGAGCACAGAGCCTGTGTCACTGAGTCAGACTGGTTTGTATTTCTCCGTTGAGTAATGGCAAATTCTAGATTCAATTTTGTCAGTGCTGGAACCTCCAGCACGATTTTTCCACTTGGAATCTAAAAAGCATGTCTCTGAAGCATGTCAAGTTCTACTTTTTCTACTGCTGTTATACAGTGTATTAAATCCACAGCTGCTAGATGTGCCAGAGAGAGCTGTGTCACTAGCACTAGCTCTCCCATAGCCAGGATGAGAATGAATTTTTACAGGGCTTTAGTATTACCTTGTCATTTCTCTTTCCAGGTTCAAGTTCTTCTGTACTTCCTGCAGCTAGAGACTATCCCTACCCCAGACAGCAAGAGGCAAAGCATTCTCTTTTCTACAGAGGTGTAGGTGCCTGCGGTACCAACAGGACACAAACTGCTTTTGGCAAACTCTGTCACCCCGGGAAAAAGATGACTGCTGTTTCCTCAGACTGTTCCTGTGCTGAGGAATTCTGGCCCTCAGTGCTCCTGCAGTTTGGTACCCAGAGACAAGCTGGAGAGAATGGAGAAAAACCTCCTTGTGCTGGTAGAACCAGAACTAACCGGAGATGGAGCTGTGCGGAATCTCCACTAGAAGGAGCAATAGACACTTGGACAAATGCACCACAGAATGTGGTGATGATTCTTGGTAGGAATGGGACAGAAGGTATTCCTCATTTTATGGATTTAATTTATCATAAAGAAACTTCAAGATTTCTACTGGACCACTTGATAGGACACCCCTTTTTGGGAGAGGGGACGTTAAAGGATATATCACAACTGTGTCTTTAATAACTGCTGTTTTTCAAGTACTGTTTGAGGCCACAAAAAATAGCATTGCTTTGCAAGAGGAAGGAGAAGAGAAGGGTCTGGGATCTAAAATTCTCTCCACAGAAATTCAAGTCTTGATTTGAATATGGTTCTAAAGAAATCAAAGAGTTTAATGTACAGCTAGAACTGTTGTCTGGTTGGGGGCTGGGTTTTTTATTTTGTTTGTATGGTTTTTTGCCTTCCCATAGAAATGTTTGTACACCCCAGGGAAGGAGATGCCCTGCTCTTGCCTATGTTGCACTTCTGATGGGTTTTGTTGGGTTGAGACAGACTCAACAAAATTAAATAAATAACTACAGTAAATGAAAGAGAGGCAGGGAGAATAACAGTTAGTGATTCTGTTATTCATTTGCTTATAAAAGCAGGGGCACTATTATCCAGGAAGGATTGCTAAATTCCTTGGACCCCACCAAACTTAATGAAAATTAATTGGAAAGACTATTGATACCCAACACTCCAAAGAAAACACATTATCTCTGCAAAAGTAATTGAAGAATTTGTGGGAAAAAAAAAAATCAATAACTCTCAGTTTGGCTGGCTGCTTACTCCAGACTTTTACCAGAACATCTTTTTTTTTGATACTTGAATTTTTGGAGGCTTTGTACATTGTTTCTACAAGAGTCTTTTTCTGATAGATACAAACGCTCTGAAAAAATGCCAGAATGTACTTTATGGACAATCTAGCAAGTAGCATGCATTGTAAATTCTCCAGAAATTCCAACTCTGTTTCAATTAAGAGCAGTGGAGAAATTTCTGTGGAACTCCCATCTAGCAGTACAAAAGATCTGGCCAAACACCAATTTTTTATTTCCCTCCCTAAATCAGTTGAAGCTACAGGGGTGGAAAAGGCAGCAGGATTTGTCCAGGGAATTGAAACTGCAGGATCTAATAGCTGGTGTCCAGAGCCAGCATTCTGGCTCTGGAGCAGTTGTGCCAAACATCCTGGGGGTGGGAGCAATGCCATTGTCCTAAACTATTGCAGCCCCCACTACTCCTGCCCAGCTATGCAGCATCCATTTAGTGGCATCTGCCCATCATCATCCTGGCAAGAAGTACAGCTGGAACCACAAGGGAAGGGATTGGCACCACAAGGGGAGGGAGGGAGGGACAGATGTTGAAAGATTGGTAGGGTCAGGTTGTCAACATCATTCGCAGGGAAAAATGACACAGAAAGCAACTCCTCTTGTGCTGAATTGCACATTTTCTGATGGGTGATCTGCAAACTCTCAGTTTAAAAAAAAATAGCAAAGGAGTGTTGCAAGCAAATAGAAAACAATTAAAGGGAAATGATTTTGTAGTCACTGTAATTCTGACTGCTGCAGAATATTAGAAATTATTGTACTGTGAAGTTGCGAAATCAGAAAGGAACAAATATAAATTTCAATTTTGTGAGTATATCAATATTTTGCATGCTTTGTAAGGATTCTTATAGGAATTTAATATTGCTTAGTATCCCTCCCTCCTTAGGTCTGGGAGCAAACCTCTTTGTAATGTAATGTACAACTAGAAATTCCTTCTCTCTTGTATGTATTTCCACAACATTCCAACTTCTGAACCCGCAAAAAAGAAAAAACTCTGTAGTAGGAAGTGCTTTTTGGGGGAGGGAGGGAATGAAGGCAAGGAAGCTTGAAGGCTTAAGATTTTGATTTTTTAAATTTTTATATTCATTTTTTGCCTGTTTGAAGGTAAAAATTGGTCACAATCCTGCAAAACCATTGACTTGAGCCATGTGGTGCAGAGCAGTAAAGCATTCTCTGTGTTTGTTTCTCTGTATTTGTTCTCCCTTTTCCCCAGCAGCTCACAGCAATCCTTGCACTCCTGCCTGCTCCCCCTTGGGAGGATGGACCTGAGGCAGGAGCACTGCTGATGACTTCATGGAAAAGGGAGACAACCCAAGCTACACCTGGTGCTGGGTGATAGCCTTTTCCTTTGGTGTTTGCAATCTGTGGCTGCTCCTTGCAGTGTTGAAACTGGAAAGTAATACCATAATGACTGTGCCAATTTACTTTTGCCCAACTTTTTAATTTTTATTTATATAGGAAGTTAATTTTAATATTAGATTACTGATCTATAGTATGTAACCATGAGAAAATTGCTTTTGCTTTGGTTACTGTGACAGGTTGTTGCTGTCAGTCTCTCATTACAATGCTCAGTTCTAATGTAATGTTATCTAACATGCAGGCATGTGGATCAGGGAAAAAAAAGTTAATTTAACTTAACCCATTAATTATTTCTGTTAAGTATGAATATGTTTTCCCCAAAGCTGGTAATTTTGGGCTGGAAAAGATAGTGGATCGTATTGCTGATGATGAAATAATGGACTGATTTGAAATACGAGAATTGATTTCTTGAATTTCCTTTAATTTTGCAATTCATTTTTTTCCAATAGTCTTATGTTTTCAGAAATTAAGTATTTCCAAAAGGCTTTTATCTTTTTTTTTCCCAGGGATGTTGGTTGGGTTTTTTTGTTTGTTTGGAGGAGTTTTTTTGTGTTTTGGCTTTTTTTTTTTTTTTTTTTTTTTAATAAGCCTTATCGTACTTAAACAAAAAGGGAAATGCAAAACTTGGCTTCAGAAAAGGCCTTCTGATTTCTCCTCTTATACATTCCCTTGTGAGTTGTGTCAGAAAATTGAATTCTTTAATTTTCTGTGTTAAAAGGTACAATATAAACAACACAAGAGCAAACTAGCAAGAAGTTACCCTTTATGTGTGCACTGGGAGATTTTGCTCCTTCAGTTTCTAATGTATTGGAGAGACTTTTTTACAAATGTCACTTTCAGGAACAGGAATCTGAAATGTTGAAATTTTCAGCTGAGGAAATTCAGGTGATTATGATAGTCTGTGTCTCTCCAGTTTAAGGAGGGGAATAAGCATCAGTTTCTTGGCATTTAGAAATTACCTTAAAATTCTTGTGGGTTTTTTTAACACTGAATAGGTTTTTAAGTAAAATTTTAAAAAGTTAAGTAAATGAAGGGAAAAGTTTTCAAAGATGGACAAGAAATAACAGTTACTAGCTCAGAGTCAGCTTTGTGTTTGTGTATGCTTTGTATGGGAGGGAAGTGTCAAAAACCAAATTGAAATACATCCATTCAAATGCTGCTGGTGTTCTTTATTCTTGCACATTTTTAACAAGTTGAGGTAGTAGCTAAGCTATTTCAGGCTGTATTTTAATGCTGCTATTTTTCAGTGTACAGCTAAGGGCAAAATGCAGCAGTGGGGTGCCCGTCCTTGCCAGTGCCCACTGCCCCCCTCGGCTCTGGCCGCCGTCGCGCCCGCGGAATCGTCCGGCATCACGCGGCCCTCGTGCTGTGGCCATGAGCTGCTGGAGCCACAGAGGATATTTATGGGAGGTGCAGGATTTTTACAGTTTATTCGTTTTACCTGTTTAAAACTGTTTTATGGTTGTTCCTGTTGGTTTTCTATGAGTTTATTGAAACAAATGGACTGTTCCTTAAGGCAGACCTGGGTCTCCAGATTAGTTTGTCTCCTGTGTAACACTGGAAGGCATCACAATGTGTCAATTTACCTTCACGTGCCATTCTTTCAAGTGTGTATAAAATGTAAACTGACCAATGTGGTTTTAAAAATGTTTAAAGTCTGATGGCAAAACCCCAACCTTCTCTGATTCCTCACTAGGTAATCAATCCTTTTGTTTCAGTGCTTGGCCACCTACTGGGATAATTTTACCAGATGTGGCATTCTTCTTATGGAAGTTTTAGTATAAAATGGGAAATGTTTTAAGAAAAAAACTTCCCCTTTCTCTTTTTACTTCAATTCAAGATGACAGAGATTTGTAATAACAGAAGACCAATACATTTGTGCAGGAACTTGGGGGGGGGATTTGCTTCTGTTCCTTGAAGAAGAAAAATCTGAAAGGGCAATTCCCAAATACAATCAAATTCTCATATAATATATAAAGTCACTTGTTTATGCCCTCTTCAATTTCTGCTCCAGGGATGTTTTTCTTTGTAGACTTTGCTAAGACTGTCCTACTGCTATTAGTGAAAAATAAACATGGTACCATTCCCTTCCTTTAACACAGGGCCTGTACAAAGTGAGATACTGGAGCCTTGGACTAGTGTTAGCAATTCTCCATTCTGAACTAGGATGAAATAAATGTTCATGTGTGTTCTGTGAACTTTCTAATTGAACAGAATTAAATCCATGGATTGCCCTTAAACTCAACAGAAGCTATAAAGGAAGCACTTATAGTTAATAGACTGTTCCTTAACAATCATCAGGGAATGAACCCATCACAAATGGAAAAGGGAAGCAAAATTAGGAATTGCTCAAGGTCACATTGCTTGGGACTAGAATGAGGCTCTCATTTTGAGTTACAGAAGTGCCCTAGGTAACTGAGCAAAAGCTCTCCTGCCAGTAAATAAACATGAACATGGGAATGGCAGGAATTTAGCTACAGCAGCCTCACAGTTGTGATGTGCTGCAACCCCTCTTTCTTGCTAGTGAACATTCACAGTTCAGTGCCAGGAAAGCAAAACTTATCACTTGCTCTCTGCAATTTCTCCCTGAGGCAGCAGCTATAGCACCTGTTTGTCAAAGTAGGTGAAACCACCACAAGGAAGAAAAAGGCTCCTAAACTCCTAGAACCACAAAGCTGGATTATTGTTTAAGGTAGAAGTCTGGTTTTGGGCTGCAAGGATAAAAAGCCACGACAGCTGTAGTGACAGAAGGATTGGGGCAGTAGGACCAAAGCAAACCTGAGTGTAGGTGTTGCCTTGAGTCTCCCTTCTGGGACCACATCATTAGATTTATGCCACTTGGGTCAAGCAAATTCATAAATGCTCTTGTCCAGAATTAGAAAATTACTAAATTCTCTAGTTTGCCTCCACTGTTGATTCTCTTGTGGTACCATCTTACAGTGACATTGCTGGAGACCACTGCAAAACATGCAGCAGTTTTTTTACATCCTTTATTTCCTGCTGCCATGTTTTACCTCACAGTAAGACAGGCTCTTCCTTTCCCAACAGAACCACTTCACATCTTTCTGCTCTGTAGCAAATACCACACTGAGATGTTCAGTTTGTAGCAGAGCTACAGAACAGAGCCCTGGAGATAATTAAAATATTTCCAGTCTTCTTGTGCAGAGTGGACCAGGTAGTGCTAAAGTTCTGGACTCATGCAGGGCTGTGTTGTGAGCTAAGTAAAATTCTATCATTTACAGCTGTTCAAGCATATTTGGGAATTAATAAAATTACAGAGTGCCCAAGCCTAGCAGAAGTGTTTGCTCTACTGATTTGTCTTAATCACAGTCATGTTCAAATCCTCTTGTCAAAAATGGTTCACCAGAATAGAGACAGTTTTATTCTGTGCT